CTCACCTTTTTCTTTTATTTATTCTTTTGTTCAGTATTTAGTTAGTCGTATCTGTGTGATCCTATCTAAATACTTTGAAATTTTTCTGCAATTCTGTGAGAATTGTGAATGTTATTTGGTTTATTTCTTTAAAATTGTCTGCTTAGTACTTGACACTAGTAGATGGCTATAGCAGAAACTGAGTTTATATGAACATCAACAAGGGTCAAAGCCAAATGAATCTGTGAAATTAGTATATGACTACTTTGGTAGGAATTACTTCTGAGGTTAGCTAGAGCTCTGCAGCTCATAATATATTAGGCAATATGTATCTCGAAGAAAACCTAAGCTATAAGATAAATAGATTTGCATATAAGTCAATTGGCTTAAGCAGTTAGATATAGTGATGATATTAGTTTAGGATGGAGGAAAGAGTTAATAATCAGAGTGTTTAAATAGGTAACTCACAGACAGATTGCAGGTATAGCAGCATAGTATAGAACCAACAGATAGTCAATTATCTATATAGCGAACTACTTAAATTAGATAATAACTAAAATTGTATGTGTAGCTTGTTGTACACTTATCATGTAACTATAAAACCTTAAAAAACTATTCATGTACTAGTTCTGCAATAACAAACTAATAAAATCTAATCAGCCAAGGAAGTGGCTTTAATAATAATAAAAAAAATAATAATAAGTTCTAACTTATAATTTTATCTATTATATAATATATAATAAAACATCTAATAAAACATATTTATCTTTAAAAATATTTAATATTATTTAGTTATAAAATATCTTAATTGAAGATCCATGAGTCAATCAGTGAAAAATCATAAATAAATATAGTATTACATAGATCACTATATAGATCATTATATAATTAATATAAATAGTGAAAGTAAAATATTTCTGTATTTCTTCAAAGTAAACTTATTTTTTACTAAGTAAACATTCTTTAGGCTTCTAAGTAAAGTTGTAGAGAAGCCTGAGGCGGTTCTAATAGTTGTTAAAATGCTAAAAGTAGTTTAGTAAATCATGAAATATTTGCTAAATTAACTTTACTTATATATAAAATTTTTTTATAAAAATTTTTATATATAAATAAAGTTAATTTAGCAAATATCTCATGATCTACTAAACTAATTTTAGTATTTTAACAACTATTAGAACTATCTCAGACTTCTCTACAACTTTATTTAAAAGCCTAAAAAATATTTACTTAGTAAAAAAATAAGTTTATTTTGAAGAGATTCAAAGATATTTCATTTTTATTATCTATATTAATTATATAGTAATCTACATAGTGATCTGCATTATATTATACTATGAATTTTTACTGGTTAACTCACGAATCATCAATTAAATTATTTTTGTTAAAAACTCTTTTAATTTTAAAATAAAACTTAGTCTATTCGATACTTCGACTTATAATTTATAAAAACTTGATAGTTATTATAAATAATCTTATAATATAAGTACTTAGAAATATCTTAAAGAAAAGATACTATAGCTTAATAATTTTTTAAACTTACTAAAATTTCTTCTAACATACTATTTCTTGCTAATTTAAAATCTAAGCTAAAAACTCTCTAGTTCTCATCTATATTTTTATTTACTTCTTAAAAATGATTAAGTTTAGTTAGTTTTTTTATTTATTTGTTTTTTTTCTTGACCTTATGCTAGCTTTCTTATCTTTTAATATAATTTCTTTACTTTTCTCTGTTATTCATTTCTATATATCATTTAGTTCAGATATCTTTGTATATATCTTTAATTCAGAAATTCGTAGTCAACTTTTTAGTTCTGATTATTTCTTTTATTCTTTTTGCATTGCTTTTGTTTAGGATTACTTATAGCTATTTAATATTTTGTAATCATTTTCCTTCTTCTGTTATCTTTGTAATAATTTGTTTTAACTTCTGAAAGTTCTACTTTTTATCTCTTCTGTTATTAATATATATCTTTTTTCAGATTTCTTTACTTATCTTTGATAGTGCTTTTTATGCTTTTTTATAGCAAATAATATACTTATTTATTTTTGGTTTTTTGAAACATCTTTTGTATATATTGTTTTTATAAATAGATTTTAAAAAACTCTTTCTAGTTCACCACCAGTAAAATTTTGAAAAAAAAAACAAAATTAAGACATCAAATGTTAAATATCTACTCCAAGACATAACAGGAAGAGCTAAGGCTCTTGTATCGAAAAAAAGAAGGCTCTCAGGTTTAGTTATGAGCAACTTAAGTAACAAAAGAACAAAGACTGAAAATGATAAAACCGGCAACAAAATCTTTGACCTCTCAACAGAAGAGGAAAAAATCAAAAAAAGTGTAACTTCAAGTAATAAAATGTCTACAAGGAATACAAACAAACTAGGAACTAAACTAGTGAAAGCAAAAGAATTAAACTGGGCTAAAGAAGTTGAGGATAACATCAAAGTAGAAGAAGAAACTAAAAAAATTTCTTCTTTAGAGAATAAAGAAAACAAAGAAACACGTCAAAAAACTACAGAAACAACAAAAACAACACTAACAAACAAAACAAACACGTCTGATCATGTAAACACTGAAGATCAACTAAGTATAACAAACCAACTTACGAACCTATCAACTCCTAGCTTAACAGTACATCCTATACAAGAAAAATCGCAAGATAAGCCACAAACAAAAAAATGGTCTGAATTATTTCCAAAATTCAAAGGTAGAAAAGCTACTTTTACTAGCTCTCTTCCCAAACCAAAGATCCACTCAAAAAATGAAAATACTCTTATATTGGACATACAGAATATGAGTAATATTGCATCAAATGATATTGTAGCTGCCCTCGTAGCTAAACTAGGGGAAGATTTAATGGCAGCAAAATTTCATTTTTCTAGAGGCAAACGTTTCTTTCTAGAAGTAATCTTCTAAAACAAATCCAGTTTACAAACTTAAATTATAGAAGAGATCTGTCTCTTTAAACAAACTCTCTTCAGCTTTCTACCAATTAACCTAAGGCGAACCTTCCTAACAGTAAAACTCAAAAATACACTGCTAGGCAATGCCAAATATATTAATAATCTTATCTTAGAAGCATTTCAAGACTTTGAAACAATTGCCTCAATCAAACCTCTATTCTTCGAAGGGACTACTGTTTTATCAGATCAATAGCTAGTTACCTTCAAAACTACAGATGATCCTGATGTAGCTCAGAGAATACCCAAAACCACTCATTTAGACTACCACAAAGTTATGACAGAATGGAGAGATGCACCAAAAGTCTGTTTTTACTGTGAAAAAGAAGGCCACATTAAAAAAGAATGTGACGAACTAAAAGCCTCAATTGAATTTAGAAAGATTCAGAAAGATCTCAAGCTTCAAAGAGAAAAACAAAAAACTGCTGAAGAGAATAACCATCAAGCCAACTTTAGCTCAGAAAACTCATACAACAATGATATGCAAATTTCCTCTGAACTTGCAGAAACATCCTCTACTAAAATTGCAGAAACTAGCAGCCAAAATATAAGCTCTTTAAACGAAGACAACTCAACAAAAACTTCTACAGAAGCTACTACAGAAACTAAGACAAAAGAAGCTGACGAATTTCACCTCACAAAAATAGTTGAGAACTCTGACTCAGAAAAGATAACAATATGGAAGAGATTACCTTTAATATTGTAACCTCTAAGAAATGTAAAAAGAAGAATAGCCCAAAAACTCACAGCTTCTCTTCTGAACGACTAGGAAAAGGCTCTACTCAGAGCTTCTCTTAAAGCCAAATCTAACTTATAGAGATTTAACAAGTGTAGCCAACCAACAACTTATATCAACAAATATGATTAAAATCACTACACTCAATGTAAAAGGTCTAAATAATAGATCTAAAACTCAAAACACATTAACACTCTTAAAATCCTATCACTTAGAATTAATTTTAATACAAGAAACAAATCTTAAAGACAAATCGACCAGAGATTTCCTAGCACAACAATGGGGCTACGACTCATACTGGTCTGAAAGAACAGCTATTTTAGTAGGGAGAAAAAATATTAAACTAAAAAATAACAAAAGTTCACATGAAGGCCAAGTAATCTCAACACAAACAGAAATTAGAAATCAAGCCTTCTGAGTAACAAATATTTATGCTCCTCCAAGCACAAACAATAGAACTACATTCTTCACAAACTGGTCACCAACATATCAAGAAGGATATATAAACATCATAGCAGGAGACTTCAATACTAATTTGGATCTAGAAGTCAACTGCATTAGTTAAGCAACCCCACAATATGACTCATCGAGACTATTGGTTAAATCAAAACTAATAGATTTTATAGACACAGCTATTTTTTCAGAAGAAAGACCTTTTATCACTTTTAACCAACACACAAGAGGTGGAAACATGATAACTACAAGGCTTAATTATATTTTTATTGATAGTGATCACAACCATATGATCAAATCAACAAAAACTCACTTTGGAAACTCTGATCATCTATTAGTTGAATGTGAATTATCACTAAAACCATTAGAAAACAGATCTTGCTTCTGGAGATTCGACAGAAAAACTAGTAGACAACCTAAAACTAATATAACTATTAATGATACTCTATCTAGGCATCAAAACATAGAGGAATAGGACTTACTAAAATACATGATCCAAGCAATTATAAGAGCACAAAAACCAAAAATCTCTGCTGAAAAAACAATGCAAAGATTACAGAAAAAA